ATTATAATCAGCTATTCGCTTAGTTAATTTTGAAATATTTAAATTGTTCAGATCAGACAAATTGACAACAAAAATTGCGTTGTAAAAAGTCACTATGAGATATTGCTGATGAAGGTATGCGAAGGGGTGGCAAGGTCATCCAACGCGGCTTCTCTTTCATCTACGCAGTTCTAGGCTTCTCTGGACTTCCCCAATACTGTACTTTCGTTCTCACGCCGATGAAGGACAGGTCAGGTTGATTGGAAATGGAAAGAAGTTGTAAAAGGTGCTTGTCATATTTATGATAGTCTCTATTCATTTAGGGCTTATAAGGGTGTTGTTAAGTTAGGGAAAGCAGACGCGGTGGCGTTCTTTTGAATATATTGACCGCCCTAGTGGCGAGTCCTGCACCCGTGGACTTTCCCCAAGACTACGGTTCTCACAGTGATGTACGTCCAGAGAATTGTAAATTAAAACTGATTTATATAAGTTCCTCGTTATTTTTACGATAGTACCTTACCTATTCGGTGAAGGTTTTTAGGGGTGTTCTTAAGTAAGAGAATAGGGATGACAGACACGGTGGCGTTCTTTAGAAGTGGTAGGTCCCGCTCCCGTCAACTTAAATATTTGAAGGGTTTGGTATTTTTTTTGTTTGGAGCAAATATAAGCATTTGTCAATTATATAAGGACTATACAGATCTTAGCATACACAGCATATACAGCATATACAGACATTATTTTCTTCCGCGTTCTCTTCCCATTGCGATTACTTATATAGTTAAGTCTTTTTTGTTTTACTTGCGATATCAGTAATGCTCCATATTTATTATGTTGCCAATTTATTGTTAATTTGTATTTTTCAAGTTTCTATGTTAGTTTTACCTGATATTCTCACAGCAATGGCCTTTTCGAACAGAAACAAGTAATATTGGCACGGGCTTGGAAATATGTTTCAAATCAGGCGAAAGTACTTGGAATCACACGATTAGCCGACATTTATGTTATAGAAAGGATGTCATGTGTTCTAAATAACAATCTCTCTAGACATCGCCAGAAGTTATTTTACCATCCATGCGATTCGGGCAACTTTGTCTAGCGATCCTTTAAGCTCGTGATACCCAACATCTGTTGACCGTTATTAAGTCACTGGTATCGCGGTTGGTTAGTAAGTATTCCTTTGGTTAGTAATACATCATAAAACCCAAATACATTAAATAATCAATGCTCAATAGCATTCATAGGAATGCCCTTTTCCTTTGTATTGTATTTTGTAATTTGTTACTCTAGTATAGACTAGTTGTTTCCAGTTAATATTAACTATACAGTACCTATTTAAAAATCATTAAAAAAATTTAATTACCTTTTAACTTCTCAAAACAAAAAAAGGAAGAATTTTAAGCGCTTAACTTTTAACTAACCGTAAATAAAAATCTTAAGCTCAATACTGTTTTAATAAAGGTTTTAACAGAGTAGGCTTAGAATACTGACTGACAGACCAGTTAAAATGTTTATCTTACTTTTAAAATGTTAAATAAGAAACTCTTCACATACCATGTCTTTTTGTAAACACTCTAACGTCTTCAGCCAAATGACCTTGGTTTCGTTGTTCTTTAACCATTATTTTTAGATCATCAAAAGCGCGGCATCTTGAAATTGTTACGTACAATTCCCCATGCTGTAAGCAGGGGATGCAGCTCTAGCAGATAAAGACCAACTTTTCGAGGACGAATTTTAGAGGAACACTCGTTTTCCAGCTGAACTTCAAGTGATAATTTCAAGACTTCATCATTCATAACTTTCGCCATTAATCTGGTTCTATTAACCAGTCCTTTTTTTGGATTTAATTTTCTTAGTAAAATTACAATTAGACCTTTTTTGACATAACTTGCGAGGAGGTAAACCCTTATCGAGGAGGAAAATATGTCATTCTGAACAGTGTACAGACAAAACTCTAATTTTATTTGCAGATATTTTATATACAGCACCATTTGATTAACTGTATTTTTTCACTTCTATAACAGATTTCGTTTCTCATGACGCTTGATGAACGACTTCTACACCTAATAACAACTTACTTAAATAGGCAATCCTAACGAACTACTGTTGAAGTAAACTTAACTGTTACACATGTTTGAAATTTACAACATCTTGCATAATTACAATACTTTGTGCCTGTTGGCTACTATGAATCGTTTGGATTAATTTAAGATATTAAACTTTTTTGATATAGGCCTACACAAGGTAAATTGACCTCCATGTTACCCAAAATTATACACAGGTCCTATATATATACTAGTGTACATGTTGCTCAAATTCAAGCAATTGCAAAGTATTACAGGGGTTATTTCAAAACCAATAACAGTCATATTTAAAAAAGTTTAACTCAAAGTTTAAAAAGAGTTTAAAAAGAGTCAACTCAAATATTACCATTGTGTAACTCAGACCCTGATTACCTAAATCCCTGATCTTCGTTATTGATAAACCTTAAGCATTCCGGCTGGTTTTCTCATTCTCAAAATGCCTCGCTGTACAGGCAACACATGTCATTGATAGAGGGTCAAATTGAGAACGAAAAGTCTTTTAGGGGTAGTGTTAGCTCGCATTCGTAACCTAATAGTTGAGATTGTCCAGGGTCAGGTGCTGACGTGTACGCCTCCTTTCTATGTTTCGTTGTTGTCGCGTCGGAGGCATTTAAAAGAAAAAAACAACAAATAAACAAATTATAGCTACACAAAACAACGATAAATGCACAAATTTAAGTTACAATCATGCTAACACGATCTGTCATAGCGACACAAAGCAACGATAAATATATAAATTCAAGATACAACCATACTAACACGGTCCGTTTTCGTTTTTGGGGTTATGTTTACACAAACTCAAATAGTAAATAAATTTACTCAATGCGTTTCATTGAATCGAAAAATAAATAACAGTAATTAAATTATACAGCTGATCAAAATGTAAACAATTATGTTCTTCATAAGGATAACATGGGAACTTTCAAAGCCACTGGGGCAGAACCCAAGGGACTTTGTAAAAAATGTAAGGCCAGTTGGCAAATCTACGCGACACGCTCTTTCCAATGAGATGTCAATGGATAAAATCGGTTAAGAAATGGCGGAGGAGTTCAACCGACAAAGTTTCATGTAGCGTATTAATTATATATATATACACCATATTACCACACTATAAATGTAATTCTACAATATACGGTACGTAGTTTTATCCAAACAAACGATCAAAACCCCCTAATGATATTGTTATTTGATTCAATAGTCAATGCACATAAGCGAGTCTTATCTTTCAAAGCAGATTAAATAATACAAAGGCAGAGGAATGCGCGAGAACGAGGTCACGTCACGGTTGCTATAGAAACGACGAAACTATCCATTAGAATTGCGCGCCAACGTCAACTAAACTCCAGACTGTATAAACACGCCGAGTGTGTAGTGTTCGACGGAGCTAGGCTACTTTCAGTTGGCAAGACTGGCTTCTAGCCTCGAGCGACGTGGTTCAACCACGAGAAGCGCCTCAAACTCCTGGGTAATCCCCGGTTAGCTCCTCCCACTCTGCCCCCTATCCCCACCTAAAAGACGAGCAAGTGGTAAGTCGGTCGGGTCGATTGACGACAAGTAGGTTTCTTGTATATAATAATTTAGTTTTACAGGCCGGTCAACTGGAATGACGATGAAATAACTTGTCGACGTACTGGTTTTCAGTATTTATCTATTTAATTATAAAAGACGGTCTAGTGGCCAGACGACCAAGTATCTTGTCGGTCTACTGGTAGGCTCCCTAATGAAACGTACGGTTTAAAAGTTTTAAAAGTCACGTTCACGTTCACAATACGATTAAATGTGATTGGTTGGATCTCAATGAAACATATTAATTAGGTTGTGACAAACTTAATCACCTCAACACGTTCTACAGGTTTTTACTTCTTAAACTTTATTCCCTTACCAATATTATGACATTGAAATATACATTTCACTATTCATTTTTTGTGTTTGCAGATCCGCAGTGCACGACTGACGCCAACATTGAACTCTTCTCGAATATTGTACATAATTCTACTCTATTTAAAAAATGTAATTTATCTATATATATTTCATTAAAATAATTCATACATAACGATATTACAGTTTTTCTTATGTCCCTAATTAAGTTGAGTTATAAAACATTATTAAATATAATGTAGCTACTGAACATATAGATGCCTGCAGATTCAACAAACTTAATAAGAATATGGTCAAATTTGGTATCATTTTACTTATTTCTTTATGGACTTTTTGCTGGTACTAATAAAAAAATTAAAATTCCGTCCCGCAAAAAAATTTAAAAATGCAGTGGGGTTGCTACTAGGTGACTAATTATAAAACAGCTGCTCAAGGAAGTGGGCGAGCAAGGGACGGCCCCGACCCGGTCGCAGGTAGTCTAGGGTCCAGACGCCAAGTTAGTGTATACAGAGAATAAAAGTTATGAATGGCCTTGTGCTAGTGTTACAACCTTAGCCTAAATTTTGTTTTGATCAGTTGTCCTGAGTAACAAAGTAGTGTGCAAAGTAAAATGTTAAATAATCTGTTGATTTACTAACTAATTCAAGAGAACAAAATGTCTCCTTGTGTGAGATTGACAACTGCAGACAAAATAATTTGTTCAAAATCAGGCACAATGAGAATGAGGACAGGGTAATGATGCACCTGGCCTGTACAACTTAAAACCGTGATTTTTCTGCTATTTATTATTCAATCCTCCTTAGCTTGGTGTTGTTTGATAGGACATTTTAAATGCTAAATGTAGGGTTCCTAGCATCTCTTTATAAAATCAGCCATATTTTTGTAACTCTCACTTGATGTTAGTATCCATTTTACTTTTTGATTTACCAGGTGTCTGACTAAGAAAACCATACAATGATAACAACTCAAGATCATTGTTAACATACTAGTTGCTACTGCCTAGAGCATACGTTACAACTTATTGTAATTGACAGCAGGGTTGTATAATGATTTCACGTCAGAAATAGTAACGACACTTTATTTTAGTTACAATCATTCATTTGATAAAGCACACAAGTTATCACCATAAAATATAATCTCTGTCTGGTATATTTGCCCCACACCTTACAGGTCCTTAATCCTTAAAATAATATTTAGAGATTCCGAATATAAATTACAATTTTAAAGGTAACAGACTAGATAAAGCAATAAACATACAATGTATCAACTACTGCCTCCAGACACTTAGAATATGATTTAGATAAATATGATTGAAGAGTCAATAAATAAAATAAATGGTAAAATAGCATACTTAATCTTTTTTCCTATACTCAATTACGAATTTGTGGCTAAGTGAGATTATGATACATATTACCTTAACATTACGTAATCTAAGTATTGTCTGAAACGAGAGCTCCATCTTATATGTACAATTTCATCGAGGGAGCACAATAATGTACATCGTCATGTCCCTCAAACTCTCTTGCTTTATAACGACATCCCAGTAACATGAAGTAAAAATTACTACACAGACATTTTATTCGGGTGTATTGCTATTGCTATTGAATTCAGTTACATTATTTTGGGGGGGGGGGGGGATCTACGCTAGGTGGAATGTCATCCTACAATACGGCCCTGGGCAGTTATAAAACAAGAACTCATATCAAGCTACAGTTCCGATTTACGTACTAAAATAAATTATAAAAGTATGTGACAGGCTCCCTTCCTATCTATTACTAAATAGTTACATTGACCTTTGTAACATTTATAAACTAAAACTAATGCGGACGTAATAGTAGTCCACAGTTAAAATGTGGTACTTTACCACAGGCCAGAGCTTAGATTACATCACACAGACCTGCCTAGGGTGTGAGGACTAACACTAAAAGTACTTACATCCCTTTTTACAACACCAGATATCTGATCTTTAGGTGGCATTTGCAAAATTATCTTTGGTGGAAAAAGCCTACGTATAAATATATGTAGTATAAATTAAACTACTAAACCCTGACGATCACAGCGTGTGATTATCGGCTGACCGAACTAGAGTTTGTGCTAGCGATAACTAAAATGCTTTCACTACGATAAAACAACCGAACAAACTTAAAGTGTCGTTATTAGTGTCGTTCTGTTCTACCGGCAGAAACAAAACGGTATTGAAATGTAAAGTAATAAAAAGGAACTTACTTAAGTAGCATTTTCCTGAAGGCTGACAAAAGTCAAATTTGTACTAAATCGGCATTTTTGAAAAAATTGATAAAAGAAGAATTATAGAATCGGGACTATTTTTTGGAATCTACCGCCTCGGAAATGCACGACTCGAATGCATTTTACTTTATAAATTAAATAATTTACAAAGCTAATTTAACAATAACAACAACAAATAGATTCCATTTATCGATTCTAAGCCAACAAAGGGAGGGTAGGGATTCAGACGGGCTGATATTCTCCTCTCGGGTCGTAGAATATTTTTCCCTTCAATACACGCCTAACCAGTTCCTTCAACAGCAATCTCTTCTCCTTCTGAATCTTCTTGAGCACGCCCTTGTTTTCTTGAGCACGTCGGGACAGGTAGGGCAAGACTTCATTGACAGGGCCATAAGGGATGTATTTGTAAGCGGAATAGCCAGCCTGACCTGCATACAAAACACATCCCGTTAAACCAGCAACATACTATCCTTAAGCATTCCGAGAAAATATTTGTATTAAAGTGCATTATAATTTACAATAAAGATGGATATAAAGAAAAGGCATACTATCGAAGTTCAATAGTTTATAAACTTCTCTTTTTTATTATTATTATTATCAGTTCTCACCTCACTGGTAGGCCTACATTATTAGCCTACACTTATTGGTCATAGGATTTTTTCTCCGACTGTTCACCGGCACCGAGAGTACCAAATTATTAATGAGTATTTACAATTGACAAATACCAGTACCTCAATAAAACCCAATGCAATTGGTTTATTGGTTTAGTTCTGGGTATGTATTTTGAAATGCTTTTTCAACCTACCCAATGGGAAAGTGATGTAGTCGCACATTCCAAGAAGCTGGCCAAAGCAAATCACTTTATCTTCTGGGGAGATTCCAATCTCCTTCATTCTGAAACATCAAAATTATTGTACAAGAAATCAAAATGACATACTGTAAAACCAGGTTTATTAAGCTATATCACCAATAGCTTGTACTTGCACCATTTTCCTTATTTATCGCCTATCGGTAATCCATAAGCTATTAACAGGGCCCCACAAAACTTGAAATTGAAATTCATGGTTTATTTGTAGGTTTTTACCTTCATATTATTATATTTTCTCAGTTGTTGCTTTTTAACTATACTTGCATAGATAGTTTATAAGTGGAAGTTTCGTTATATTACTCTTGTGTCCGATATATAGGTTTTTAGAGAGAATAAGGACAACAAAACACAAATAAATAGCTCAAGTTTGTAGTAGTTACAAAGCTAAAATTTGTGATTTTCAATCCTGTCTAAGATTGTTGTCAAAAGACTTGTTACCGAGTCGACATAAAAAAAAAAACTTTTCAGTGCCCATTACTGACTTGCACTTTATGAAGACAGGTAGGCTAAGTATTTTTGAATAAACTAATAAAGCCAAATGGCTGATTACTACGTTTTGGAAATGGTTAGAGTTTAGCTAGCTTACCTGAGAAAATTTAAAGTAAAGACATTTAATATAATAAGGAATAAAAGGTGACAATCCTTAACTCTGATATTTCTTCTTCATATAAGGATTGAAAATAAATTTTAGTTTGATTAAAAAGTGGAGTAATCTGACTCCCAGTTTTACCAACTGTGGCTAACAAATGAAAAAGGTCTAAACACTAATATGATAACACACACAGATAAAAGGATGTTTTCTAACAAAGTTTATTTGCACTAATACTTTTAGGAGGATCTTTTTAAAAGCTAGCGAGGATTAGTATCTTCAATTGAGGTTAGGGGGATTTATGGAGTCAGTAGTGTGCTGGTAGGCTGATTCCCGCCTTCTCAATAGAAAACTAGATCATTGGTTTGTGGGTTGGACTTTATTGCTTTGGTGGTGAAGCTTCGCATGGATGGCTATGAGTTTCTCTTGAACGCGAGGTGCTAGGTGCAGTTGAGTATGCATGAAAATAGTCAGAGATTTTGATTTTTGATTTTAGTAATGGGGGCCCAGGTGAGTGTAAAAACCCATGTCGTCGCCTCCAGGGGTGGTCGACAACTTTGGGGTGGGGGCGCAAAGTTGCGAAAAACGTTAATCGGCAAACCGCTTTTAACTCCCTTTTTATTGAACGTAAGTAAAAGATTCATTTAAATTGACTTTTGATTTTAGTAATGGGGGCCCAGGTGAGTGTAAAAACCCATGTCGTCGCCTCCAGGGGTAGTTGACAACTCAGGGGTGGGGGCGCAAATTTGCAAAAAACGTTAATTGGCAAACCACTTTAAACTCCCTTGTTATTGAATGTAAGCTTCAGTATCCAATAGTCAATGATGTAAGTAAAATATTCTTTAAATTGACTTTTCATTTTAGTAAAGGGGGCCTAGGTGGCCTAGGACAGTTTAAAAAACCATTTTGTAGTTTTCAGTGGTTAAAGTTTCAAGTCTCTATCACGTTTCTAAATGGTTAAGAAACTAACACCGAGTAAGTCACTTTCAAGCTTATTCCCCATAAGAATAACATGGGAAACTGTTATAGCCTCGTAACAGTGTTAGAATCTTTAAAATTTTTACATTAATCTTACATTTTAGGGGTGAAGGAAATAAGCTATGAAAAAACATGTAATGAGTAAAATTTACTGTAAAATAAGGAGAGTACAAAGCATTAATAATATAAAAAAAATATTAGTAAGGAAAAGTAGCGAAAACCATAAAAAAGTTAAACAAAATTTACCAATTTTTGAAAGTCGGGCGTTTTTTTGGGGGTGAAGGGGTGTGATTTTTGGAAAATGCCAAGTAGGATTTTGTAGAAAATTTAATTCCTGCCCATGATAATTCTTTAAAATCTGTTCTAGCTCTTACAGTTTTTTAGTTATAGCCGTTTAAAAAAACATGTTTTTTCGTTTTTAGATGGCCGCCATTTTGGATTTTTGGGTGTGTTACAATTTTAACTTTTGGGAATTTCACCGTTACTTAAGGATTCCATACTACAATACTACCAAATTTCAAGTCTCTAGCACTTTTCTAAACTAATCAAATGAGCATACTAAAGTCTTTAAATTTCATAGTTATTCTCTTTAAGAAAAACATGGGGCACGTAAAAGTGGTAAAAACCTCTCAAATTTAAAATATTAAAATGTCACTTCAGAATTTCACTGGGGTTTTGGGCTCAAGATCAAGAAGCGGGCCACATTTCAACTACATAGCACCTCTAGAAGTGCTCAAACATTTGTATACCTGAGTCAGTTACATATGCACATGCATTTTGAGCCCCCACCTTAAATTTGTCGACCACCCCTGGAGGCGACGACATGGGTTTTTACACTCACCTAGGCCCCCATTGCCAAAATCAAAAGTCAAAATCTCTGACTCTTTTCATGCATACTCAACTGCACCTAGCGCCTGTACTATTGGCGAGTATTGACATCTTGCCAGTGTTCATTCATCCTATTTCTGAATAATTGTATTATCAGCCTATATTAGCCTATATATTGGACTTGGCTGCTGGAGTTAGTTAGACAAATTATATCCCTTGAAGATTTTTAGATAGTAATTAAGCTAACCATTAGAGATGATACAACATACTTTTCTATAGCGAAGCGTACAGTGTCCTCGTTGTGGGACGCCACCATGATGCCGATCTTGTTGGGAGGAAGTCCCTTCTCCTTGAGCTGCTTGATGCGCCTCAGACACTCAGTGAGAGTGCGATGGTACATATCCGTGGTCGCTTCATATGTTGGATTGGTCGGGTCCGGGTAACCCAGAGCAGCAGCCCGCGCTCTTTCCTGCAAATATCTCAGTTTGTTATTTGTAGGACAAACGCTATTTGTTTGGATTTACAAACTAGTGACTCCAGTATGATTCCAAATTAGTAAATTAGTGTAAGTGTAAAGTAATCTCTATAACTTACTCCATTCTGAGTTCACTGTAAATTACAACTCCTATGGGATAGTCATGCTACTAACATTACAAACACGATTGTGCTTATCGCCACATACGGGTTGTGTCGACTGTCCTCGTCACTTTCGCTAAATGTGCCTTATTTTTGCAACTTTACATGTTTTATAGATTGGTATTTTGGTTTTACGATTTTGATTTCGGTATGGTCAAAACCAAAATAGTAGTAGGAGTAGCATAAAAAAATAAACATGGGTTATTAGAGGGGCGTTGCACTACTCAGTTAACATGGAATGGGGTATAGATAGCTGGAATTATCTTAATAACAATAAACCTTAATATAGCAAATGAAAACAAAAAGATTTATTGTATGAATTGATAAAATACAAATAACTGACTTAAAAAGGCTGTTCCTTAAAATGAGAATCAAATGTTGACAAGTGTATAACACAGTGTGTATCTATGTTTCAACTCTGATTACTGTAAGAAGTAAATATCCTGTTCCTACGTAGATGTTGTGTACAGTGTATTAACAATGGAAATAAATGTGTCAGAATTGAGCCCCCGACAGTGGGTGTTTAAGTCAATTACTGTTTTCTGTGAATACACCGACATTTTAACTAACCAAAACTGAAAAAACATCGTACTCAGTACTATAAACTATAGCATCTTTGATGTCCCATAAACTATCAAAGTATCAAAAAATAAAAGAGGAAATATAATGTTGATGGTGACGGTAGTACACTGACACTCAATGAGTGGCTCATTCAATCAGTTCAGTATATTTTTAATTACTAGCTCTTCTTATTAATACTCGGTGCAGTTTTCAATTGATTATAATAAGTTTTGATTACCTGATCAATGTAAGCCCCTCGCACAAGTTTTGCACCAAAGTAAAAGTTCTGCCTCTTAGCCTGTTCCAAATCCGTAGTGACTTCATTGAGGGCCTCCCTCAAGTAGCACTGATATGTGTTGAAAACTATTGCCTGGAAAAAACATTTGATTCAACATGATGACAGGAATAGTTGTTTTACTAAAACTACTTAATTACAGAAACGACTCGGTAAGTTTCTGGAAATAACTACGATAAAAATACTAGATTACTTAGAATAACTATCGGCTGTGATCATTCCGAGATAATTCATTATTACAGGGTGGTTATAATGTCCCTTTTCCCTAAGTTTCCCTAAATATTGAAATAAAGTCAATACTTTTAAAAGAGTTTTGAAATATGACATGAAATAGTTTGTCGGCTACTACTTTTTTTATTTTTTGGTCAGGTAAAAAACGGTGGATTTTGTAGCTAAAGAGTTATATTTTCTGGATCATATTTTTTTTATTTTTAGCTGCTATAGTTTGGTTGTAGTTTTGGTTATACCATAGTCGATACCCGCCGCGGCAAGTCTAGTCGGGTCCGGCAGGCCTACTAGAATCACAATTTTTGATAATACTGTGGTTGTAACATTTAGCATTGTGCATACAATGATAAAACATTAATAGGTGTTAGTGGAAATTATATCGTAACTGTTTGCACTGAACACACTTGTGTAAAAGTATTCATACTTATGAATTATATTTCATAGAAAACAGATTACTTCAAACCAAAACACTAGCATTATGCCCTGGAATTCAAAATTTGCCTTATACGCTAGATTTGATTTTATATGATATACAAATTCATTTAAGTAGCTACTTCTATTTCAAAGAGTATTCTTTGACATTAACGATCCAAATACTTTTTATTAGTACCTAACAATTTTGTTACCATTGAATTACTAAACGAACTTGCAAAGGTGTGCACTCAGTAAGGTGATTATTGTCAAACTAAAAAGGACAAATTTATTTTGAAGAAAAACACAGAGTACATTTAAATGTTCATCGTTTTATTCCTTGTATTTGTCTAAAAATGAATATTTTTTAGCTCTTTTATCAAAATTAATCATTTGCCTATTGGGTCTGATGATGATTGGAGTGTCCAATCGAAATCGATCACCACTTACCATCTTTTTTGTATATTTACCGTCTTTTGAGTAACAGTATAAGTGTAAATATATGTTTTAAGTGTTATAAGAAGTTTCCTTTGATTTACTTTCCAAAATTAATATGACACTTAGAATATAAAAGAGCGCTGTTTTAAGAGTTTCAAAAAATATCCTGTGACTTTGAAAATGTGTACATTGTAAACCAAACATCAAAACTTTATCAAACAATATATATAAATATATTATAAATTAATTTGTAGGTTTTCAGAATTTTTGTTATGCCAAAAAGTTTTTGTTGTTAATTATGTAAACTAACTTTTTCTAAGAAACGGTTAACGCTAGAAAAAAAAATTAAAAGCGTATTTTGAAGGTTAGTAATAGAAATATTTATAATACAAAGGCGTATTGTCACGGATATAATTGATATCAACTAACATTTAATTAGTTGCGCTCGCTACTAGGGCTCATCACAGCCGACAGCCGCCATCTTGTTGTAGATTAGTGAAAAATCCTGGCTTCACGTCGCGGCCAACGTGCTCCATCTATTAGTCTTATGTCATCGTTGGTCGAGACCAGGTGGCCATTTACTTACAAGGGTTACTTTGGCAACCAGATATTTAACCTCTTGTAAATTAAAATTTGGGAGGTTGCCTGGTGTCTAAGATGTAGGATTAAACTTCCAAATTCCTTATGAGAAAGATAGTCATATAACATCCCTAATAACACCACCTTACCCTGTTATTTGACAAAATGAACTCGCTCTCCCCTAGTAAACTAAACACCGATCAGTAAATGTGTATTTGTTTGTGTTTGTGTCTGGTGAACTGTATATAGTTTTTACTAAACGACGTCCAATGGACTGAACATTTATGACTGGAAGCCTTATGATAGGACAACGTCATGCTGAAACCTAGGTTGCAATAATCGACTTATTTTGAACTGGAGACTGAAGGTAATTAAAACATTATAATAGTTATATCAGTTCAGGGGAAATTCCACATCTTATGATGTCAAAACTATTATATTTTAACTAAGACTAGTACAAAATGAAGTTTTTCTAGATTTTTGGCAATAATTGCAGACGATGCGCGACCGGAAGATATTAACATACGATACTATTATTTAAATATCAATTTCTTAGTGTTTTGTAGATGACATTTTCAATTATTGCATTTTAAAAATCAAAAATTTAAAAATTGTGAAAATTTCCGATAAAATATGAGTTTTTCGTTTTTTCTTCAAACTTTAGAGCCCATATGTGACCAGAAGATAAAAACCAATATTTTTAATATTTTTATCCTGTTTTAGTCTTACAATTTAGCAACGTTTTCAAGGTATTACAACTCGAAAAAAAATTATTGATTTTTTCGACCCACCCTTTAAACATGTTTACAACAGATTTGTTTGTACAGGGCATAGCAGATGACATGCAGATATATAAGTAAGAGTAGTTTCAATAGGTTATTAAAGGAATAAAAAACATATACTAAATACTGTTTTAACTCAGTCCACGCAGGCTCTGCCCATGTAGACTTTTTCCTTGATATTTTCAAATTATTGTTTTTTCTTATTTTATCGTTTCACATTTAATTATATTAGTTATATCTAAAAGTTAAGTTTGAGTTTTTAAAGTTTATTTTTGATGTAGCGAAGATATATTCTATACATGCTGTACATATTTATGGAAAATAAAAACTTATTTAATTTTTCAAATACATTCATATTCTATTATTATGTACGTTGTTTCATCATTATTCCCTCTTTTTGGTATTTTATTTTGTATGTGAATTAAAGCATCATCAAACGTAAAAATAAGAGACAGGGACACAATAAATTTGCATGTTAGTAAACACAGTAGCCTTGCAGCCGACAAAGGCAACTACGAGCTTACGACTACACTGTGCTTCACTTTACATTAGTCAGGAAGGGTTCGGTCCTCATTCGTCATAATGACATTCGTTATAATTTTCATTACGCAGAATATCGAAGAATTAATTGCAGATGTAACTTTTATTTTGTTACAATACTTTTTATAACATGCTATATGTTTACTTGTACAAAATTTGAAATTATTATTGTTGAAGACGAAATAAGTTTTGAGGTTTTTCCTCATTGTCTTTACTTTGCTATTGCCTCCAGTCCTTCATTTTGTTTAAGTCATTGGTCATCTGTTGAATGTGATCAGCTGATAACTACGACTGTCTTCTTACTAAAAAAATACATTGCATCATTGTTACGCTTTCAAAAGTTTAATCAAAACATCCAGTAATTGTGTTAGTTTGGAATAAAGTTACCAGTTGTGTTAAATTATTTTGTCAAATAGTTGCTTCTTATGTACAAAATGTTTGGTCCCTAAAAATTCTTAACTTAATTTTAGAACAGTTTTATGATAGCTATGACTTATATTAAAATGAAATAGGTAAAGCCTTTATCTTATCTTAACCTTTTTTCTTCTTGACACAATCCTGTTATGAGTAAAAGGTTTAATAATGTGTGGTGATGGTGATGGAAAACCATGAATGTTGGCTACTTATCCATCTTCATAGTAATGTCATTGTATCAATAAAGATAATGGTTGAAATAAAATCTTGAGAAGAATTGGTAAAACTATGTACTGTACCGAGAACCGAGGTACGAAACAATGTACCGTACCAAACTGTACCGACCTTAAATTTTCTTTACACCGCAGAACCCTACTTTTAAGAGTAAAAGGTCTTTCAAGTGACAATTTATCTTTTTACATTAAAGTTGATTGGTACAGATAGATATGTAAATATACAACCTCTTTGCATACTTTCATTGTTACATGAGTACAGTAGGTTTCATACTATCAATAACCCACATACAGGGTGTTTTTAAGAGAGTGCCGGGATTTTAAATGATAATTGCTTGGGTCATATTCAAGTTAACTAAACTTTTTATACGTCAAATTGAAGCTAAAATAACTAAGCTTTGTTATTTTAGCTTCAATTTGACGTATAAAACGTTGTTTCCCGTGTAGTAAGGAAGGAAATTTAGACCTTGGCATGCGCAAAACAGGTGCACGGTGGTAGCACTATTGTGACTAACACGCCTGACGCCAGTTGCCAGTACGACGTTTATGCGCAACAGAAGGCACAGATTGTAATCTGTGGTTCGCAGAGTTTATATCCATTGCTAAATTAAACTATATTTAAATCTACTTGATGATAAAGAAACTTGAAGCTCAAAACAGGTAAACTCAAAATTCACCTGGCCGGCTAAAACAAGCAATGACATAGTCGAAGAAATCCGACAATTCTGCATCAGAAGTCCGAAAAAATCGATTGCCCGACGAAGTCTTTAGTTAAACAAACCTAAATTGGTCATTTCATAATGTTTTCTGTAAAAGATAGAGTGTTTGTGCCTAATATATTCAGCTAAGATATCAGATAAACCCGCCGATCGCCCTAAGCGAGCAGACTTTGCCAGCTTAAAGCTCATATAAGATTGATGAAACTCTGAATTTTATTAAATCATTCCGAATTGTATCAAAGAATGAGAAAAAAAAACTTCATTCTTTTCCCTTCAATTTGACGTTCAAATCGTTTAATTATCTTGAATAGTCCACGAGCAACGACCATTTAAATTCCCGGCATTCTTTTAAAAACACCCTGTATTTCTAGCTTATTTGCATATTTATATAATCGTCTGTTCTAAACAACATTTTAGGTAATCTAACCTAGGCCCGGCCCCATAGGGGTTGGTCAAGAGAGGGTTTACTGTACCTTTTCTTTGTTGTACTTGTTCATCATCTCTAGAGTGATGCGAGAGATGGCTGGCTGGAAGTAGGTCTGTTCTGCGTCAATCATTATACGCACATCCAGGTCCTGAGCAGTCTGAAATGGTAATGAGATATGTTAAATATCATATAAGAACGACTTACAAACAAATTCATATGAGCAACAATAATTTTTTTTTTTGGGTATTCAAGATATTTGAGTGAATATTTGAGGTTCACTGTATTGGACTATTTTTTTTTTTTTTTTTTTTTGATGTCCAAGAGTTGCATTATGTGTTGCATTGCTGTATAATGTTCTACAACAGCAATGTTTAGGCTATTGAAACAACACACAGTTGATCCTCGCCAACTCAAATGTTTTAAATCATAAAATATTTTGAATCCCTTTCAAACTCTATCATAAAAATTATTTTGCATTTTTATTATACAGTAGAACCTCTTTAATCTGAACTAATTGGGACCGGGGGTAATTCCGACTATTGAATAGTTCGGATTACAGAACATATTGTTGTTTTTACATAACAATAGCTAGGGAAAAGTGGAAAATGCTTTATAAAGTAAAATACAGTGTTTATTTAATACAGTACATTGGGAATAAACAGTACTGTACATTACAGTTGAAATAATTACAGTGCGTATATCAATAAATACAGTATACAATAAAGAACTACTGTACTGTGTATAGAGTACAGCAATGAGGCGTTCGGATTAGTGGACGTTCGGATTACAGGGGTTCGGATTAAAGAGGTTCTACTGTACCTCTATTGATCAAAAAGATTCAACAACTATAGCTATAACCTGTAGGCCAGTCAAATTCAATCCGCACTAAACCTCAAAACTCAAAGATAACCTCTATACCACAGAAGTTTTGAACGGTCCACTAAATTGAAAGGCTTACAGGTCGCAATGTAGTGAAATATTAGTAAATCAAATCATATTCGGTCTGTATCCATTAGATTTCATCCTGTACACATTGTATGGTGCTTGTGCGTATTTGATACAATAATATTGATAATAATACAATAATCACATGTTTATTGTATTGTATTATTAGTCAGTATTTGAGTGACAATGAGCGTTACTTAAAAAAGGGTAGGGTTGTATTCAAGTGCACTATACTAAACTTCCAGCAGTTGGTTTGGTCTAGCCACTCATGTTAGAAGGGTTTGCTTGCATTTTGAGGGTGCTTTGTTTGTGGCATCGTGTTATTTTCTATTGGTGTATTTTCTATTGGTGTCTTTTGCCCTAGCTTTTTCCCTGCTTTTGGCAGTACTGAAGGAATGTTCCTGTTAGCAATTGTAAATTGCTGCTGTATGTAGGTTTTTTTGTATAACTACAACCACAAACACTGGATCACAGTGCATCCTGTTCTGTGGCTTTCTATAGGATGAAATAAAATTTAAACATATTTTTTGCACTCATACACTTACTGCTTTACCTATTGCCTGTTCTCGCTCCGACCAATGCCGACCATTAAGCAACAGTAGTGTACCGTTTTTTTTTAATGGATAGCAGTTTTTTTCTTATTTTTTTCCGGTAGTGTGACATTTTTCTAGTAGGCCTATTCTGCATTGGTTTTATACAATTTGGTATGGTTTTATGGTCAACCTATCAATATGCACTGAAATTACAAAAATGTTATTGTTGTACTTGTGTTTTTGTTATTGTTATGTACACACAATCAGTTCAGTTGTCTACTTTTGAGGTTGAGTTCAGTTTGAAATAACTCAGAGGTTTACATTAGATTCTGTTAAATTGATATTAAGTTAATCAAAAAAGTTTGTAAATTTAGAAAAAGTAGGTTAATGGATTCGTCTACAGAATTTTAGAAAAAATCAATAATTAATTTCAAATATATAAGCCTACTAAAATACCTTGACTAAAGTGTTGACTCGGCGAACCATATTACGGAACATTTCTTCTTCCTTCTTGGAGAGCTGGGAAATAAGACGAACCATTCGGCCTTCCTTTATGCTTGGCACTCGGAAGGTATCACTCAGCTCAAAGTTCTCATTGATGATTCCACTCCATGGAAATAAGTGGAGGACTCTGAAACAATAAATTTAATGTTAATTTAAAAGTACATCATAAATTATTGTTTGATGAGTTTGATAAAATCTTTAATATTCTGTTCATACAGTAATAGCTTAGTGCTATTATAAATATCATCGACAAAACAACCTCAACTAAGGAAATGGAAATTAGGAAGGTAGACTTCAGCCTAACCTAATGAGGGGGCCGATAAATATTTTCAACACTGGAGTCATAAGTCTTGCGAGGATGATAGGGCCTAGAGAAGAAGATTCAAGAGTGTGGGAAGAAACACAGCAAGGGGTGGACGTGTGTGGGCAGAGAAGTGACAATGCCTAATCATTAGAATGGGCCAACAATATTTGACATTCTGAGAAGTATTTCTACACACTTGGTTAATTTTTGAGAAGTTAGGTTAGCACGGTCACCACTCAAACTTGCATGGGAAGTCTACAGTTTATTCACAAACACCTTTTTGTTTAAGATTGATAAGGGTCAGATGGCTATGTATGGGTACACAAGAGCGACAGATGCAGTGGCAGAATCACAGTGTATCTTGGTAGACTTCAGAGACAATTGGAGGTAGTATACATCGTCAACACAAATGTGTCTTACAGAATATAGGCTTTGCTTACCCTGCACACCAAGAGCCTACTCAACAGTGTAGAATTCAATGAGGCTGTATTTTTAGTCTCTTCCATAGAGAGCTGAGGAGAGCAATAGGAATGTGTTTGTACGTTGAAGTAGTTCTAAGGGACTGTTTGGACATTTGACTGTTATGGTTTTATTAAATTGTTTGTAAGAAAATGTTGAACAGTTAAATGTATTATTTATTCTCGATTATCTTTTTACTTGTTAAGGAGAAAGGAAGGATACACAACTAACTCACCTGAAGAAAGAAAAAGAGTCCCAGGAAGTGAAAAGAACACAAAATACCCCCGCCACAGCAAACCTGACGCCTAAGCGAATTTCCATTTGGCTGAATTGATTTTCAATTGATCTATTTAAATAACATTAGGTTTAACGAGTACCTAGGTTTGCTGCTACAAGGAAACTAATAAAGTGTGTGTTTTAAGTAAAATAATTATTGCTTAGTATAAAATGAATATATTTGCCAAGTTTGATCAAAAGATATCCATAAACAAGCAAACTACAACATTTTACAATATTCTCCATAAGAATAACATGGGAATTTTAAATTTACCATTTTTTTAGTTTTCTCCGTAACCAATAACCGTACAAAAACACTTTGATATACTGAATTGTTTGTTTTTTTAAGCTCTTTAAGAAGGTTTAGAGAAAAATTGGGAAATTTTGTGTTTTCAGGGTCAAAAGTGAGAAAAACCAATTTTTACCCCATAAAACCCTGTTCCCATGGTCCGATCATGCTGGATCGCGAACTCATTCAAGTTTATCCCGCCTTACACCTTCGAACCAAATTTAATCAAAATCGGATAAAAATTACTCAAGTTATCGTGTTCACGGACACACACATATATATATATGTATATATATATATACATATATAAAAATTTGAACGAGTGGTGTTTTTAGCCTCTGTGGACATCAAAATGAAAAAGTAAATCGGTCCCGGGCCTAAGTCTTACCATGAGACCTACGGTAATAGCTACTTCCCTATAGGGAAATTCGCTAAAAGTACTTAACACATCTAAACTGATGTTTCGCCCGGGCGCTGATATTTTGGGCTTCTTCTGAGGCTGAAAGGGGCAAAGTATCAGTTTAAATAAATGTGTTACTTTTTTGTATTCTTTTCACTCTATGAGGATCTTTCAACCCCATCTTTTTGGTGAGTTAGTTGTCTATCCTTCCTTTACCTTTAACAAGTTCTTAAAGCCAAGTTGCTTTTTTCTCTTGATTGACTATTTAGTCAAAGTACTCAAAGTTGAACAGAATTTTTAAAATTATAGATCGTAAAAACACAAAAGTTAGGCAAAGTAGTCTAGAGACTACTTGTCAAGTTGCAATACATTCATGAGACTATTAACATATTATTAGTAGGAAAAAGACTAGCAAACAATTTCAACACTTAATTTCTCAAAATGAATAGTGATGAAGTAGTTTTAAAGAAGTGTTAACGTTAACAATGCTTCAACTAAATTCTGAATTTTACAAAACCTTATGAACTGGGTTAGTGTTAGTGATATCATACATTGGAGTAGTGTGGTATTTAAGCATCATGTAAAAAGTTGTATAATAAAAGTAGCAAGGATTTGAGTGACATTCAGTAACTGAGCCATTTTAAGAGCAAACCACCTAGATGGTTCATAGTTATCATCCATTAGACTGATAACTTGTCAACCTTAATTTTTTAACCTAGAAAAAATCAAGAGTATCCAAGAACTTGGCTTGGGCTCAAAATAATATCTAATGAATGGAGACCAAGTGTATTTTCCCCAATCATATAGACTGAAATCGTTTATCACAAAAACTCTTATAAAAAATGGTAATAACCTTTTGCCCTGGTGTCAATTGTTGATAAACAGATTACAAACCAATTAAGTAACCATTAAACTGATTTGTAATTAGCTAACCTTTGACTTTTGACAAAAAGACAGTTTGGCTATTTTACATATACTTACTTTGATTTGAGTTTTAAAAGAAGACATTAGAACAATTGGTAAAATACTCATTCTTCTAATTAATAGTTGGAACATCAATTAAAATAAAACAATAAATCGTTTAAATTTAGAAAAATATGTTCTATTGGTTGGAGTTGTACTATAAAGAACATTAAACGTTGAACTAAAATTCTATACATTTGTCTCCGAAACTTTCCAGATACCTTTTATTCCAATCATGTATTGAAGAGAATTTGAAATTTTTTAGTACCGTATAACATATTTTCGACCATAAATTAAGTTTAAACAATAGAATAGGTCTAGTCATTTGAATAGATTAAGTGCCTTTTGTAACCTAGAAACCCCATAATAGTGTGCCTAAGCAACCTAGCCCTAACGTGTATTGGTTGATACTTCAATATGAGCACAACACAATTTAGAAGTATTCAAAAGCAACCAATTTAGAAATTGAGTACAATTAGAATATTTACTTAAACAGACAACATATAACATGAACACAAGATATATAATGAAAAAACAAATATGCTTGCTACTTATTTCACTACTTATCTGGAGAACAAAAATGTAGCGGACGTTTAACCCGAAGAATCCATAGTCCTTCAGCTGAAAATTAAGTTCTACTTTTTTTGTATTGGTATTTAGCATCGGTCAACTAACTGTACAAGCTCTAGTCTTGTAACTATCTAATGTTGGTTGGATAGCATAAATTATTGATAGCCTAATCATTGAATCTGGGTCCAAAATTGATCTTGGTTAGAACCAGCTAACTTCAGATTTGAAGGTGAGCACTATAAAAACTCTGCTTGCAAGACTATTCTAGTATAGTTGCTCACAATTGTTTGTAACTACTCCCATACCGAAGTAGTTTATTCACACATCTAATCAGGTTTCATTGCCTTACTGCATTGTAAGAACTAACTTAACTAAGAACTCACCCTTCACTATCAGTGACGACTTTCTCTAGGAACTTGGATGTATCTTTGATGCCAGCATCGTACAGCTTCTTCTCCAAGATCTCGGCGGTCATGTGATGTCCAAGAACGTTGCCTTGACTTCCCATTAGCTCAGAAACAAAGTTTCGAGCTCTCAAGATCACCTCTGATAGTTGGAGCTGGAAAAAAAAAAATTTAATAATCGTAAGAACTTTTTCAAATAGAACAGCCTTTACACTCTTAATATTCAACTATAGATGAAAATCGACTTACCTAGGTATGTCAGAAGGCATCAAACATAGTTATCTTTCATGCTGTATATGTTTGGAGCCTATTACAGCTCATCTTCAGCAGCATTCATACAGTATTTACAATGTCAACTGGTTTGATAGCTCCACGCATGCGTAAGAAAAAATGTGTAAATAACGTCAAAATGATAGGCGTAATGTTTATTTCTGTGTGTAATATTCCACAAATATCGCTCGATGGGATTTATTGTAAATACTGCATAGGCTAAATGCTGCTGAAGATGAGCTGTAATAGGCTCAGTGCCGGATTTACCACTAGGCCGCAAGCAAAAGGGGGCCGCAGAGGATTGGGAAACACATTTTTTAGATACAATTTTTAAAAAATAATTTATTTTAAACCACCAGTTTGCCGCGATCACAGCTGACCATAATGATGTCTCCGCGGACCGAGGGAGATGTTCACGATTTTGCCGCGGCCTCGGGTGCCTGTGATGATGTCCCGTGATTGCGGCCCGCGGGAGACGTTCATGATTTAGCCGCGGCCGCGGGTGACGGGGATGTGCTCGCAGGAGACGTTTACGAAGTAGAGTTTGTATCGAGTTGTCAATGATGATGTCCCCGTGATTGCGGCCTGTGTGCGGGAGATGTTCACGATTTCGCCGCGGTCACAAGTGTCAATGATGATGTCCCCGTGATTGCGGTCCGCGGGAGATGTTAACGATTTCGCCGCGGCTGGGGGTGTCAATGTGGATGTCCCCATGGTGGCTTACCGAGGAGGATGTTTACGATTTCGGCACGGCCGCGGGTGACAATGATGAAGTCCTCATGATCGCAGTCCACGGGAGATGTTTTAACACGAATTTGCCGCGATCGCAAGTGTCGATGATGATGTTCACGTGATTGCGGCCCGCGGCAGATGTTCATGATTTCACCGCGGCTGTGAGTGTTGATGATGATGTCCCCGTGATCGTGGTTCACGGGAGTTGTTAACGATTTTGCCGCGGCTGGGGGTGTCAATGAGGACGTTCCCGTGATGGCTTCCCGAGTGGAATGTTTACGATTTCGGCACGGCCGCGGGTGACAATGATGAAGTCGTCATGATCGCAGTCCACGGGAGAGGTTTTTAACACGACTTTGCCGCGATCGCAAGTTTCGATGATGATGTCCCCGTGATTGCGGCCCGCGGCTGTGAGTGTTGATGATGATGTCCCCGTGATCGAGGTTCAAGGGAGATGTTAACGATTTTGCCACGGCTGGGGGTGTTAATGAGGACGTTCCCGTGATGGCTTCCCGAGTGGAATGTTTACGATTTCGGCACGGCCGCGGGTGACAATGATGAAGTCGTCATGATCGCAGTCCACGGGAGAGGTTTTTAACACGACTTTGCCGCGATCGCAAGTTTCGATGATGATGTCCCCGTGATTGCGGCCCGCGGGAGATGTTCACGATTTTACTGCGGTCCCGGATAACTATGATGGCTTTGACTTGGTTTAGGAGAGATGTCCACGATTTCATCCAGGATCACAGGTGTCGATGATGATGTCCCCTTGATGTATAGGAGATAGTCACTATTACTTCCGCCTTCCGCGATCGCAAGGAATTTTCACCACAGGGGGAGGGCCGCTCAAGTAATTTGGCCTAGGGCCGCAAGTACCCTAAATCCGGCACTGAATAGGCTTGAAACATGTACAGGCTGTAATGATTCACAGTCTACAAACAAAGAAAACCTCAAAGACAACAAAACAAAACACAGTGTAAACAGTAATCTATGTGATTTGGCATAAGGCAATTTCTCTTAACAACACTATACTACTTAATAAGACACAAATGTTGCTGCCATACACTATTTTTTAGATGAGTGACTGTAACAAACAGCCTTAGAACTAATAAGTTAATGTATACAAATTTGTGCTTACTTGTCCGCATATCACTTGGACCTCGATAAAAGGTTTTGTCAACTTGGCGAGACCAAGCTACTGTTATACTACGAATAAAATTATAAATATATATTTGAATTAAAATACACTTGGTACCATTATGTAAGGCAAAAGAGGTTATAGAACTACAGAGGGTTCCAGGATGATTAATTATTTTAAATTTATAGATAGACCAACACAATTTAGAACACATTTTAAAGTAGTAAATATATACAATTTTAGACGTAACTGTCGTACTGGCAAAAAAACTTTTTTCTTCTTTGTAGTCCGAATTGGATTTAGTATAAATTCAGTGGTATGAATTACAGGGAAATTAACAGAGTGCTTTATCAATGCAAAAGATCAAAACAAGGTTAAGGGTGTAATAAAGTGCACCAGGGCCAAGGTTTTAAAGGTTTTTGTTAGGATATCAGTCTTTCTTGATAGACACTCACACTTACACCCACACTTATAAAACCACTTGGTGAAAAGGAGAGAAAAATCTATGTTTTCTACATCTACCAGTGTGGAATTAATAACTATTAATATTTTTCCAAGCAGAAAATTTTCAGTCAAGAAATAAAATACTTAATCCATGAACAAGAAAACTTCAAATTACTCAATAACTAATACATGGTTTATAATTATGGTATATGCTTATAGGTTTCATTGTGATAACATTAATCAAAGTGACAAAAATTTCATATTAAAAAATAAAACTTTCAAAGGTAACTATTTAACAAAGGACATAAATGTTTTCTGGCTGTTTCAGAAAGTCAATTTTTTTTTAATAAGCCCATTGAAATTATTTCGGTATACATTTCATGAATTATATTCTAAGGTTAAAACATCCAAACGTTAAATTATGAAACAGAATGTTATCTGAATTATTAATAGTTACATCATGTTGAAATATGATTTCATCACTTAGCAATTATTAGAGCTAAAAGACCACAATTGTTGATGATTATGAATATTGCTCTTATATTCATTCCCAAACAAACTAGAGATAAGACAATTAGGGGTTTGAACCTCTTGTCTTGAAGAGATTAAAAAGTAATTTTAGAAAATACATTGGTTGTATATATACCAAGAAAAAAAATTCATAATAAAAAAGTGTCTTCTATGTACTGTTATTATTAAATACTATTGTTATTTAGGATATTTAACATATTCTACCATTAAAAATAAGACCCTTAGTACTTACAAGAAGCTGTGGCCTGCCCAATGCCGTCAGTTTAACAGCCGTAATACCCGTTCCATAGGTGGCACCTGTAACACACGCAGAGTTGTTAAATTCTCAACCAACATTCAGGTTTTAAAGAGTAAATTATTAAATCAAATATTTCCTCATTGTGTGTTTTGGCATTACATCTGTTGGGAAGTTTGTTTCATTGGACACCATGGTAATAGTCTGAGTTTTGATATAAATCTTTAGGTTAAATTTTAAATTGACTATTGACGATTAAACTGGTAAATCACTTTATGATCTCACAATTTGTTGCATTATCCTTCATCCTCTGTTGATGTTGTTTCACACCGGTGTAGCATTGCTTGAGAAACGTCTTCGGGTGACGTAGCACGTGTCCTGAGTATTACTACAAAAGCTAGTAACAGTTCACACTGAAAGCTATGTTTTAATTTGCTCACAGTTTGAGCTGTGGTCGAGTGCATAGCTGGTTGTTTGTTTCAAGTTTATTGTTTAATAAATTTAAGAAGTTGGATGCTAGACTGGGCTGACATTGTGTTTGCTGTTTTGTCAGTTCCATTGTGTGAGCCAGGTTTCAGTTCCAGTTTGCCAAATTTTATTGCACGTACTACTGCAAATTGCAGCAAGCAAACTGTTAGCAAATGCTTTCCAAGCTTTGTCAAGAAGCTTAGGTTCCCTGTATTGGAGGGTGACCAAGCTTCCCGTAAAAAGGGAATGTCCCGTTATTTTACGATCGAACACGGTGTCCCGAAAAAGTTTCCTGGGACGCCTGATTATCCGTATTTGACGGAGGAAAGGAACAAGATGGGAGAGGATACTCTTTCTGCTATCTTGCAGGTACTCTACAGTTTTTATTTATCTATTAATATTTATTTGTAAATTGAAAAAGATTTATAGGTCTCAAATGAGCAAAAAGAGCCTGTTTCAATGATCTATGGATGTTTTGAGTGTTTGAATCTCCATGGAGGCTCTTCAGACCCCCCTTAAGCTGGAGGATATCCATATAAATTAAACACCCTTTTCATTGCTTTCAAATATTGAGACATTTAGATTTTATAGTTTAGGAGGGAGTAGCAGGTGTAATATTTAAAATGTGAATTGTTTAAAACTTGTATTGATAACTGATTGAAGATGTATTGAAATAATCAACCAACAAATTTCTTACGAAGCATAAAAATAAATTTGAAAAAGGTAAATTAGAAAAGCATAAATTTTGTTAAATGGTGGTTGAAAATAATTTTAAAAAAGGTTAAATTACCTGGTGTCTGCCAATTGATCAAAGCAATTATCCTTTACAGGATATGCATTTCGGTGACTAGATCACCATCGTCAGTCTTCCCCATTACAGGTCTTGCAGTTTGAATTACGTATGTACGAATCACAAATAAAAATGAATTGAACGAAAGGCCTACTTTTACTTTTCTGCGGTACATGTATACGCACTGTACGACACACCTGTAATGGGCAAGATTAAGATCTTATGTTAGATATAGTGTTCAAACATTTGATTTCAATAATCTATGGTTTATATTTTTTTGTCTTTTTCCAGCTGGTATAAAAATATGAACTTTAATAATTTTGACACATATGATTTTGGGATGAATTGTTATGTTATGATTACAGAAATAATTGTTTGGTAGCATTTTACTATGATTGAGTAACTTTTCTTTTGTGAATAATTAAACTATTTTCTGCCCAGTATCGAGTCTATTTTCCCTTTCCATTTTTGACTTTTAACATCTTATGTAAGGACTGATGATGGTAATTTAGTCACCGAAATGCATCTCCTGTAAAGGTTAATTGCTTTGATCAATTGGTGGACACCAGGTAATTTAACCTTTATTAATTGTCTATATTGATCAGGAACAACAACAAACAAAAATGAAAATAATTTTAACACAATTTAGAAGGCAAGACAATAATCTATGATTTTAGCAACTTTTTTGCCAGGACATGTTTGCATTTATGTGTCCAGGGAATTACAAAAATACAAGGAAGTCGTATTATAACAAATTTGCCTTAAGGATAGATATTATGTCTAAAATAAGAAAGTTTAGATTTACGTTTTTGGACTAGAGTCATTATAGAGATGTAGTAACAACAATTTAAAATTAAATTATGCTGGTAGATTTACATCCTGGAACAGTTCCATTTGAAGCATAACAACTCGAAAACATCAACTACACTACAGTGATCTGTCAGAGAAAGATCGATCGACAGATCTAAAGAGGATCATCAAGTGTTCAAGTGCACTTCACAAGGTACTTGGTTTTAATCTTAGGTTTCACAGTAATTACTAGAGATAATTTTACGAAGTTTCAAATATTTATGTCAACAGACAATGTATAATTCAACAAGCTTGTTAATGCTAATGATAACTGTACAATAATAATTATTAAATGTGGGTTCAAACAAACATTGCAGGATTTTACTTATAAAAAAGCTTTACTGATTGGCTTCAAGAATAATTTTTTTAATAAACCGGTGATCAAAATTTAGCTACAGTTTACTCTTGATTTGTGTTGTGACATGAAGTTCACACCTTTCCAATCTTGTTACAGTCCAATTCAGCGATTCTTACAGCGGAATAGCAGTGATTTTTGGATAGGACAAGTACCTTACTGTGCTTTGTTTGATAATTTGTGTCAATCAAACTCAAGTACAAACCTGACTTTTTCAGCATTTAAACTTATATGACACAGGTAGACCAAATTTAATTCAGAGTATATTGTATATTTAACACTTAACAATATTCAGGTCTACATGATACAACAGTATGGCAGAGTTAATAAGCGAAACTTAAAAGTTTTTTGTGGTATATTTAGATAAATTGTTTTTTTTTTTAATAATGCTTAAACTGATTAATTTGAATGCACAATGGTAGAGTATTTTAAAAGCGTTCATCAAATTTTAGTTGCTTATAGGTTAAGTTTAGTATTATTTTCCATAATTCAACATCATTTTGCTCCCGGGAAACCAGGAGGTATGATAATCTTTCACCTGACTGCATACTCGTACAATGTTTTAATGGTGTTATGATTGGTGGACTACAAAGTTGAAACTTTTCTCTGCGCAGTTACACAACTTAGTGTGAACGTCCGCAGTCACACTGGCCTTTGTGGAGCCTCTCGGTAACACATTGGTGATAATTACCGAACATAGCCAAGGTTGTATTGCCTCATTAGCTTCTAGCCTAATACACTTGACTCTTTCATTGCAATGCTTAACAACTCTTTTCTCCATAGGTCCTGAGACAGTTATTGCTGTTGAAAATGTTACAAAGTCGTTTTTGTTTCTTATGAAAAGAAAGAAATTTGGTCAAAATTTATTTTGATGATTTAAGATTGTGATTGTTGAACTAGTATGATGACAATGTTGGAAAAACATTGCTGATGTTGATTATAAAAACGGATTTTTGATTAGTAAAATGACTTATTGATTAGTGAAATGACAATATCAATAATGAGTCAGTTAAATATTCATAGTTTTAAATGTAGTGTTTAAATGCATGGGATGGTTGATAATGTTTGGGCTGTAACAGTATTTTTATTATCAATGACTCAGTTGATATTATTCATAAATATTGGTCACTACTAGGATTACTTTTTTAGACCATCGTTTATTAGTAATACATATGTCATAACAGGACGCTGATATTAAACAGCTTTATGTTGTTAGTCACAAGATATGAGCAAAACATTTAAATTTAAAATAGTGATATTTACTTGATTATGGAAACATACGCAGAATTTAATTCGGTTACATTTATTAAAATAAAAGCCATAAAAGCCATTCTCATTACAGAACAACTAATTTAAATAGTATTTTTACCAACAAATATGTTGAAATTAGTTACATATAGCTGTGAAGCTTTAAGTCTTCATTTTATTCCTGTGAACTCCTTAAACTTGAAACCCCGATTAAAAAACCAACTCCTTGAATGTTCAATCAAGCAATCAATTTCTTTAAGAAATTCAATAGTGTCATATATAGATTTTGAAAATCAATGTTTAATTTTATCAAGTTCTATGACACTTCGATGTAATGTATGTATACAATATATTTCTAAAGGCCAGACTGATTTCTTTGCACATCATTTCCTTTCAATCATTGAAAAGAAAAACCAAAGCTATAAATTTCCAATTATTAAGTGATATCTGGTTTTTAAAACTAATGAATATTATTGAAAAAGGCAAATGTGCAAAGTCAAGACTATTGTTGTCAGATAAATGGTCAGTTTGCATGGAACATACAAAATGCATTATTTTAAACTGTAAACAACAGGTTTTTGTAAAAACAAAAATATTTTTTTGTTCAAATAGTTATAACCTACGTAAGCTAATACCATCTAATAATTCTCAAATATCGCTCAACCATTAAATGGTGTGATACATCAACATATAGGCCTAGGCCAGTCTTACATATGGCATTACAACAACCATGGCCTAACATGGATAAGGGTGCCAAAATACACTGCCAGTTGGCTTTAGTTAAGGATGTCTAAATGGGTATAGTCCATTGACTCATCTTAAAATGTAGGAGGGCATATGGTTATTTATGGGGTAATTTAATGTCAATGAATAAAAAAAAATTAAAATTAAAAATTAAAAATATTTTTTGGTCCTATTTTTATTGCAATATTTCGTTTTCAGCATTGACCATAAATATATTTTTCAATTTATTATCTAAGTCAGCATTATGATATTTGTGAAAAATACTAGTAAGTTTAAATAAAAAATAATGATATCATTTATACATAGGTAATGAATCCAATTTTGATGTTTGTTGGAACAAATTATATCCTCTTAGATTTTTTAATTTTCCTACAAAAAAAGCAACTTATCATGACAAAGAAATCACAGCTTGAGTATTTTATAATTACCAGCTTTTTTAAGATTTAAGAGTATGACATATAATACAACTGCTGTAAAAATATCCCTGCTCTATATATAGGGATGTTATCACACAAATACCCTCTTATAAAAATTAAGTGTGTCACTTCCACTGACAAAATATACCATCATTTACTGAGGCCGTACATAATGATTTCTTCATCTGAAAAAGAAGCTTATTTTGCCACAGCAAATCTGCATTTGAAACGAATATTTAGCTATTTCTATGATAAGCCCCCCCCCCCCATGAAAAATCTATGTCCAATGGTTACATCATACTGGTTTACGTTGGCAACCAAATAGGCCCTAAATGTTGATTTGCATGTTAAAACCATTCAAGGTATTTAAACTGTTTTTCCAACAGCCCCCTCAAAGGAAGAAGTACAACAGTGCTGGGCCTAGGGTTTAACATGAACTCCCCAAAATGGAAACTAAATAAAAAAGATTTGAATGAATAAAGTTCTAGTTTACAGATTCATTCAACATATGTTTATAAATAAGACTTACCAGCCACAGCATGTAAACAATCTTGAAAGATTTCAACGTTTCGTTCGCAATTAGCTTCGTTTAGGTAGAAGTATGTTCTTGCGCTGGATACTTTGTATCGTCTATCAGCAAATGTCTTATTGACATTGAACTGGGGCATTTCACCACCGATTTGTGCCGCTAGAAACACACAAATAATTGAAATAAGGTACCATGTTGAAATACATTAGTAACATTTCACACTTTATAACAAATCATATGAAAATTACAGTATTCTAGAATGTTGTGACAGCCAATAAACAGTTTTTAAGTGTTCTTAAAATTATTTATTTCTACCGATCATCCACCAGTCAGTTTGGCAAAGAGCTATCAGTATATGATATAGGTGTAACATAACTTAAATAATCATCCTTTGAATATAACACACTATTGCTATACTTTTAGTATATTTACGATAAATTTGTTCATTGACCGATACATTTACAAAACATAAATATAGGTCACATTTTAAACAACATTAGCTAAGGTCATAGCCATCTCTATACTATAGACGGCTATACTAAGGTTGAATGTATACTATGGTTTCAAATTGTTATAGTCTTAAGTAATAAACAAATGACAAAATTACCAAAATCAGTTCCATAATGTTATATTGGTTTTCAAAGTGGTTCTATTTATAAAAACCATGACACAATCAAACCAAGACAAGAGCCACTTTAAGGCTTGAGATCTCTTCAGCCTTTTCAACCAAGCCGCTTACACTCGCCAATCATAAACGTGATTGACTGAGGTTCATATCTGGTAGTTTTTTGGAGTAAATTTGATTAAAGATCACAATAATTTGGTTTGTAATATTAATTTTGACAGTTTTTTATTTAAAAAAAAATTAAAAAATATAAAAAGAAACAATAAAGTTTGGAATTAAACCGGATATCTAGAAATTCTTCCATATAAAGGTTCTGTAAAACACTTTTGATTGTTGTTCTTAATCTAACTCAAAAATAAACTCTTTCAATTCGTGCTCTAACCATGATATATTTGACCATGAGCATTATATTTGGGTCATGTATACGAACAACATTTTTCTATCAGCATTGATGTTTTTGACAACATTATCTTTTAAAAACTCTTTAGATGGTATATTATTAGGAATATTTGTTTGTACTATACAAATTTTGAAATCTAAAAGGTAGTTATTTGAAAAGTTTACTCACTGTTGGCATAATTATTCACAGGTTTACAAACAAAACAAGAAATCTTTGTAAATGGTTACTAGAAACCAACGTAATAGAGGAAACTAAATGGACCTTTAGTATTGTATGGAAGGAATTAAATCAAACTGTAAATCTATATACAACTAATAACAAATGTATTCAAATATTTTATTCTCCCACAATAAGTTGGAGACGCAATAACATATTTTAACTTAGTATGACTACATGAACAACATATATAAATATACCTCTAGTTCAAAGGCATAATTTATACTTAAATGATTTCAATCTTTGCAAAATATATTTGCACTAACTAAATAATAAATAATCTCAAACAAAAAAAAAATAACTCAAAAATGTATTACTCCTCTCCTTTGTCAGCATCCTGATTGATTTCCTCCAACCATAACAAAAGGTATGGATAATGTACTTAAAAATTTCTAAGGATAAAATGCTATGAACCACACACACAATGAATGAAAAAATGCAATTGATTATTTTCTAAAAATAATGTTAGCAATAAATAAAAATGATAAAATAGGGTATAATACGCCATGCACTGATCAGTAAATAAATTAAACAAACACATTTCAATAGATGAACACTTTACAACCAGGGTTTAACTAATATACTAAAACCTTTAAACGTGGGACTTCAAAGGCACTCAAAAGATACCATCTATAGAAACCGCTACGACTTGACTATTGACTGCTAGATTTCTTTGAGTTCAGTAACATAAAACTGGAAGCAATTTTGTTTTGCTCCCTCATGAATTTTTTGAGTAGTCTATTTTAAAGATAAATGAACATTGCTTGTTTACCTGATATTTTTTTTATTAAAAATGTCAATATATAATTTATAACTGTATAAAAGAGGGAAAAAGAAAAGGGAAAATTACACATGCATAATTAAGTACCAACAACGTAAACAAACTTTTGTGAACTCATGAAAATTTAAATCACGAAAATAACCATGACACTAGGCTGATTTCATGCAGTTGGAATAGTACAAGGAAAGCTGATTTTGTAGTGCAGTTTTAATTATTTTGCCTTTATATTTATGTAAAGCTTCACTGGATTTTTTAAAGAGCAAACATTACAAAGAAACAGTATAATATGTTTTGATTTGTCTGTAATCATGAAGACTCTACAATGAAACGTGACTACAAATTAAGAGGAGTTAAGATTCAACCCTTTTTAGAAACTTGCTATAATAGGCTGTAAATAAACTGTTTTAGGGTATTACTGTGCAAAAGTATTATACAATTATTAATCAACTAAACTGAAATGTGAAGAGAAATTTAAGTATACAGGGTGTTAAAAAAGGTGGGGACATAACTTACGTAGTGATTCCTAGGGTCAAAATTAAGTGAAAATCAAGAAAATTTTCCAAAATCGCTTTGTTAAGCAGATATCCGCCATTTTGGATTTTTTACATAAACATTTTTTATTTTTGAAATTTTTCAACCGATATTTATGAAACTTGGTATGTATGTTAAGGTAGAGGAGACCCATGTTGGAAAAAAAAATTTATCTTGATTCAATTTTAAATTTCAAAATGGCCGCCATTTTGAAACTTTAAGTTGAATCAAGATGAGCTTTTTTCTAAAATGGCTCTCCTCTGCCTTAATATACAGGGCTGTTACAAATGATGTTCATGATTTCATACATACATAAAATATAGTTTTATTTGTTATACAAAAAAATAAAATGGTTACAACGTTTGAAAAACTCAAAAAGTTTCGACACAGATACACAGAACTGTAAATGCTCGATACAGGAACCCCTTGTGGTACGACAGATGTCAATAATGTAGTCAAGCTCTTGGATGTGTGTCTAGGTCTATTGTTTCGATAGCATTGGTAATCCGTTGCTGGATCTCAAGTATGCTATCTGATAATGGTGGTGTGTACGCCTTATCTTTGATGTATCCCCACAAAAAAACACAGGGGGTGATGTCCGGAGATATTGTAGGCCAGTTCAGGGGTGTGTCATTATTCGGACCACCGAGCTCGTTTCATATCTCAGGCAGCACATAGTTAAGTTCAGCCCTACTACAAGTAACATTCAAATGCAGCCATTTCTCTTAAATTTCAAGTGTCACTTGCCAATATAGGGGTTAGTAGGAGGATAATCGTTAAGCCCGGTTCTAAAGTGTCGTTGCACACTAATAACATATTGGTTAATGTAATATTCCAACTGGCAAAAAGCTTTCCTGCCTTCAAATTCAGCCATTACACAACACTTGCAACAGTTGACTTGACAAACAGCTGATATGCACCCAAAGCAATGTAAATGAAACTTTATGAGTTTTTCTTTCCAATGGTACCAACTAAAATAGTCTTGAAACAATTTAACCCAGTGATATTTATAATCAAAATCAGGAACATCATTTGTAATAACCCTGTATATACCAAGTTCCATAAAGATTGGTTGGAAAAATGCAAAGATAAAAATATTCATCTAGTTAAAAAAGTGATTTTGGAAAAAATTTATTCTTCATTTTCTCTTTATTTTGACCAAAGGAATCACTACGTAAATTATGTTCCCACCTTTTTTGAACACCATGTATAAGTAAACCTTTACTAAGAGTAAAATAATTTTGGTTATGCTCATGATACTCTGAGTGAAAGAAAAGTGTTACGCACTAATGTTACGGTTTAGAATGCTATGTCAAGTAATTAGCAAATTTTTATTTCCAAATTAAGCTGTACTGAAAATTCAGACTAGTTAAGCTGTCATACATAAATTATGTGGCCTGTGCCACAAAGTCAAATCAAACAAAATTGAGACACAATAAAATTTAGTATTTTATTTAGTATCTAGTTATTTATTGTAAACTGGCTACTGTATTTTCTTTCACTTTTCACTGCACAATTTATACTTACATTTTTCCTAACCTTATATAAATGAAAATTAACAATTGTTGTCAAGGAAGAATTTACAATTTAGAAATGTATTATACACGAAACCAATAAATAACAGAGAAATGTTTAAACTTTTGAATTTGAATGATTCTTGTGTTTTACTATCTACATAATTTAATGTTTAGAGAAGGAACTGGGGTAAGCCAGGACTCTACTTCATGCACATTTTCACAACGGATTGTGCTCCAGTCTAGACGAAATTATAATTACCTTCGTCATTTGTCCCTTTATTTGCTGCTCAGTAACAAAAATACAACAATAATTATAGACTCAAACAACTCAACCTGAAAATTATTACAGATTTAAATTGTCCTCACAGATCACAGAAACGTAGGTTTTACACATGCAAGACGTCATCATAAGCACACTCAAATGAAATGCATTGTGTTTTGTGACCTTTTTTTGTATTTGATTGGATATTACTTATAACAAGAAAATATTTAAATCAGTTTTCGGTTTATTTGTTACATTAGTATTTGTATACAAATTATGATTCTAAAAATAGTATTTTCCTCAAAACATTCGATATTTTTTCTTCGAATTTAGTTGCATAAACTTGTGGTGCCACTACACTGCCACAATTATTTTAATCACCGCATATGTTTTGTGTATATGATTCGTTTTAGTGCGTCCATCCGCTAGAAACTGAGTCTTTCTTAACAACAAAAAGGTTCATATTTCATTCACCAAATCCCTGTAGGGCCTAAATAAAGTTGAGCATAATTATGATTATTCTTCAAATTATTTATTTGAATGCACTACATATTTTGTCTTGACTTTTGGTGACAAGCTGCAAGAATTAATTTTAAGATTTAAATGTTAAATATTAACAGATCAAACTACACCCAACATGATATAAACAAAGCAATTGAAACTAATAGCTACTTCAAAAACAGAAAATTTAACTACTTTATCAAAAACTTTAATTTTTAATTGTTGAACAAGTCAATATTAGTTTCCATATAATATTAATTTAAGTCAATAACATGAAAAGGTTCAAGCTAGTCACACTCTAAAAAATATTATACACCCATATTAAAACTTTTTAGAAATTTCTTAGACTGTTCATGGCAAGCACTTTTTCTAGTGATTATAGTGTACTTTGGTCACAAAACACAAGGCAATTACAAGACTATGTGAGTTAGAGAATGATCTCTGATTTTAGGAAGTGAGATGGTGGTTTTAAGCTAGTTAGCAATGGTGTAATATACAGCATGATGAAATGGATTTAGTTTGGGCTTCTAGTTTTAACACTGGGCCAAATGTTGACCCAAACAATTACTGTATGAGTTCACCTTGAGAAGTGTACAGCTTTTAGAATCAGAATTCTTTAAATTTATACCTCTTTTGCACTTTGCTAATGTCAAATTACTTAATTGAATTTGCATGAGCTAATAATTATTATACGCTTTTCTGTATACAAAACTTATTGAAAATTATTGAAATAAATATTGTATTACTATTTAACGGGAAGTGAAAGTAAGTGATTGGTATAGAACTAGACAACTTTAGGATAAACTGAAAACGGTAGAGTCAAATACTAAATTAAATAATTAACAACACAATATTATTTTATCACCAGTTTCTTAAATTTATCATTTATTATGCAGCAAAAAATATAGAAAAGGCATTTAGAAAATATCTTTATAAAAATATATAAATAAATATAGCTAAGAAACTATTTAGTAATGACTATCGTAGTTTATATGTATACAACTTATTTTTAAGTTCTAATGACACATCAAAAGTTGATTCAAGTACAGAATCAACTTTATAGATAATAAGAAAGAAAATTAGAAATGTAAATAGGCTAGTATTATTCCGCTAAACAGTCACTTTTACTTAATTCACGATCAGTACACAGCTATGATTACAATAAAACAGTTTACCCTATTTTAAGTTTTAAAACTAGTTCTTGGGTTCAAAGTGTGCATAATTCATGCTTTGATTCACTTTGATTTTTGTTTATTTGGGCTGAGAATTTTTACTCATAAGTTAATATTGTGATAAAATACATAAACAATCAGAAAAGTAACTATTTCAAGAATTAATGTTATTTGTTCACCTGATCACACTAATAAATAATACTACAAGTGTCACACATTTTAAAACTAATGAAAGCCAAATTGTGCAACTTGGCATTTCAAAAGTTACTAGAGTAATAACATTAAACTAGTTAATGAATTTAAAAATAAAGAGAAACTAAACTAAAACTATAATAATTGTTAACAGATGTCTTATATAATATACAGTCTCCTTAGTCTGAATAGTAGCTTATCATCATCACCATCATCATCATCATATTTCATAAAATGTAAATTTTGTTTTTAGTACATGAAATAGTGTCTAGTTTTCTTATCTAAATTGGTTAACTTGTGATTAATACATTACAGAAGTCCAAAACAAAAAATAGGCTATATGAAAATGAATTACCATCAAATTGATTTTCTCTAAACAATAAGGCACAGGTAATTAATTAAACATGTCAATACAAATTAAAGTACAGTACAAGAAAACAGAGAACAATCAATGGAGGTAATGTTTTCGTCAAAGTGATTTTCACATACAACAAATTCTTGAATGGAGTGAAATGCTGATTCAATTCCCCCTCTTCCCCCCCCCCACCCACCACCATTAAACCCTTCCCTATTTATTGACCTTTTCATAATTTTAAAAACTAATTGGATTTTTTTGTATTTTAAAATTTCTGGAAGGTGGTGTAAACATTTATTTCCTAAAGAACTAGTTTTTGTTTTATAAAATTCAAAATATTGCTGTTGTACGAATCGGTGTGATCTTGTGTTATATTTATGAACATTTAGTTGAAATATAACAATCATTGATCTAATTTAAAGAAAGCCAAACCTTTTTTTACTATGCTGCTTCACACTAGTGACAGGACCTCTAAAAGAGTTCTAAAGTCTCTTGAATCAGTAAAGCCGGGTTTTCCTTGGCGCGGAAGCAGAATGCGGAGAGCAGACTGCGGGGAAGGGATTTTGGCGACGGTCCACTCTACTTCTAGGAAGACAGTACAGTAGACTCCCTCTTATCCGGACTCCTTGGGACCGAGGCCAGTCCGGATAACGGGTTTTACGGTTAAACCGAGGTCCTAAAAAACTTGTTATGTAACCAAAATATTTGACTTAAATTTAGGAGAGCATTGTATTTAGACACGTGATCACTGGTCTAAAATCTTTCCCATGAGAACAGTCGTTTCAGTACCGCCCACTTCCTGCCGATCTAGTCCGGTTAAACCTATATGCTGATAAAAATTGACCGGTTAAACAGATGTCATTTCGACCGAGTGTAGTCTGGTTAAACCGATGTCCAGTTAAAAGGTGTCCGGATAAGAGGGAGTCTACTGTACCATTAAATTACCTTAGACAAGAGGAGAACAGATTCTGCACTCTGTGTTCCGTGCTCAGCTTCCGCCCCTAGGAAAACCCGGCTTAATAGCCTTCAAGTTCGGTAAATTAAATATTAGCTATAACCTATGGTAATAATTAATGCTAATTAATGGTATTATGGTTGAACTTGAATACAGTTATGCCAATTTGTTGTTTTTTACAGATCTCTAAGCTCAACTATTTGGAGTTAGTGAAAATTCCAATCGAAGATACATAAAAATACTGTCAATACTATTACTCTAAATCATATCATACATGGCTTATCATTGATAATTATTTCAAAATCATCCTTACTTTGTGTCTTTACTATTACAACTAACATTGGGTTCATTGTGGGTATTATGTCAAATAGAAAAGTAAAGTATTTAAACTAAACTACTACAGTACTAACATCCTAGGTTCCCTCTAAAAATGTCTTTCCCAAGTTAAATCTTTTTTGACAAGAACCGTTTCAAAAATTTATTTGTACTAATAAAATAAATAATTTACTCAAGGTGCATTTTGTTAATATTATGTGCCCCTTTAACACATTCGCTACTGCAATAGTACAAAATTTTTCATTCACATGGACCAGCGACGCACATATGCGACGGCCGGTTTCCACCCATAGACTGCCGTCGCATATACACATTAAAGGTTCTAATGTTATTAAAATGCTTATATCTTTGTAACGGTCTATTTGAAGGCACTGAATTCCCTGCAGTGGTCTACAGAGATGTCTGACGCACAACTGCGTCGCTTGGTCTGTGGATATGATGATTGGTGACGTCATATAGTTGGAAAAACTGGTCTTTAATTTTCTGCATCAATGTATGTATGTATGCAGTATTTATGCTGCATTATCCTATATAGCTTTTATATTTGTTCAGTTATAAACTGTTCTTGAATAATCTGTTTTTTTTTTACTTACTTTTACCTCAAACACAAACGAAAATGAACTGTCGCATATATGCAACGTTTGGTCTATTTCAAGAAAACTATGATAATTTTCACTATTGTCTGCTGTAGACCGGGCGTCGCAAATATGCGACATTACAAAAGGTTATAAAAAATACAAAAAAAAATAAGAATATATTATTTACAAACACGATTGTAGCACATTACAATGTAAATGATCACTGTTTTACAGGTTTTCACCCGGTCTATGTGTAAGATTCAAATGTATACCTCGGTCTGTGGCAGTAGCGAACGTGTTAAGAAAGGTTAAAATTTTATCCAAATTTATAAGGACAAACAATCGTAAGCAATTCATAAAAAAAAAGTGGTGGTAAAGCAAGTAATTTTACAAGTCAGATATCATTTATTTATTCATAATTCATATTTTTTTTACTATGAATTGTAATCAAGTATAGTAAAATACTAAATAATTTTTCCTTCTTTGTAATAATTGTGTTTTTTCATAAGTATTAGTTTAAGCAGCAAAAACCATTTAATTTAACCAAAAGAGCATATAAGACTAGGTCCTTTTTAAGAGAGTAACAAATTTAACTCTAACACTACTTTACGATCATGTAAAAATTATATACAAATTCTTCTGTTGATACAAAATGATCAGCAAGAGCATGATATATAAGCTACTTATAAATTTAGAGATATAAGATTGTAAAATGTGTGCTATCTTTAGATATGCTATAAACAAGATAAAGTACAATTCTAGAACAAGATAAGAACTGCCTGCAGTTACATGTATATAATGCAGTTATTAATATGTTATATTATTTTACACTGATGTTTGTTTTATTTCAATTAAGGCATTTGATATTATTTCATATAACAATAATAAATATAATAAAAATTATAATAATGATATAATAAACTGATTTAGAT